TTGTTTAAGTTTTATTAAATTAATTTTTATCTTACTAATTTAGAATAGTCTGATTTATGTCTAAAAATATAAAAATAAAACAATTGTTTTTATAATAAAAACTAAAAAAAATAAAAGCTGTGTAATAAATTTTACAAAAAATGTCAAAATTATAAATTATATATTAATTTAATATTTGATTCAATTGAGTTATGTAATCTCTAAGTTTTTGATTATAGGCTAACATGGTTCGCAAAACAAAAAAGCAACTTTATGTAGAAGATGAGACCTCAAATATACCAGCTTTTGGTGCTGGAAGTGTATATAACTATGACCGGAAAGAAGAAGCCAGGCGTAAAAGACGTGGTTATATTATGAAAGAAATAAACAAAGATGACTTACCATATGCTTTGAGACTTGGTGGAAAGGGTGGGAAAAGGTAAATATAGGTAAATATCATGCCAATAATGGAACATTAAAAACAGTATTATTTCATTTTCTTTTCTAGAATTTGTTTTTATAGGTGTAAATTAATAATTTAAAAAAAACATATTAACAAGGAATACTCACCTAAATCCTATTGTTTTGTTATTCTATTGTTTTAGAAATACAAGTTAAAAGGATTTTTTTTTTAATATTTCTAAATTTCTTGAATTGATATAAAGCAATTACTTTGTTTTTTATTCCACTTTTTTGAGTCTCTAAATTTCTCTTGCATCTTGCAGTAACTCTCTAACTGTAGGGTTTTGTTTAGGGTACTTAGGTATTTCAGAGTAGAAATTTAAAGGATGTTAAAATATTAACAGTATTAACAATGAATATTAACAGAATACTAACAAGAATGAACAGATTATTAATAAATATACAGTATTACATCTAAAATTTTAAAATCTTAAAATTAAAATGTCTACTTTTTAGTTGATACTTTATCAACCTTATGAGCAGAAAAATATATCCTACTCTGTGAGTTTTAAATTATGCCATAGTCAAGGGTAAAAAATTTTAGATTTGAAAACCCATGATTTGAAAATTTATAACTTGAAAACTCTAGATTTATAAACATAAAAAACTAAACTAAAATCCATTGAAAAATTAAAAGTTGGATTAAAATTCATTGGCTGAATGGAGTTAAGTTGTTTTTTGAAAAGCCACAAGCGTGGTTTGCGCTAAAAAAAATTGTTTTTATCTAATTTATAGTTAACACAGTCTCATTTATGCATTAGGTAGTTAATACACTATTCACTTATGAAGATGGTTTTTAATTATAAAAAAAATAATATTTAATTTATCTTCAAAATGCTGTTAGTTTAACAAAGAATAAGTACAAATTTGATTTTGCATAATGTCACTTTTTTTTATTGTCAATTTCCGTATAAAAATTTTAAAATAAATGGGACAACAAATTTAAACTTTTATTTCAAAATCTTGATGTTGCTTCTTCAGACAAGTAGAATAAGATTAGAAACATTGGTGTTTTAAAAAAAAAATTTGATATTACCTCTTTCCTCAGTAATATCAAATTTTTTTTGAAGTAAATGTATAAAATATGATAAATGTCAAAAGTTTATTAAAAACACAGTAAAGCTTTAAATTACAGTTTTTATTGAATATTTACGAGATTAATAATTGTATCATGTTTAAATTTAGCGCTAATATTGGTTATTTTTATGTCAGCCTGACATAAACATAATAAATCTGACATGGTCAGGATCAATATTCAACAGAACTAATATTATTTATGGATTACTGCTTTTTTTCAATAAACTTTATAAATATTATTAAATATTTTACATGCTACATATCAACTTTTATTCTTTAAGTCTTTACTATATAAATACCCCTTTAAGTCTAAAGTCCTAATTTTATGGTGGCAAGTACACCAACCCATGGTAAATCAGTGATGTTTCTTCATGAAGTAATTTGTTAAAGTTAAAATTTTAAAAACAAAGCAGGAATATCACTTTGGTAGCTTTAGTTGTTATTGCATCAAAGGTCTGTTTCATTTAAATATAATGTTGCTGTGTTAGGGTAAATAACTGCTACATATATATATACACATATATATATATATATATATATATATATATATATATATATATATATTATATATATATATATATATATATATATATATATATATATATATATATATATATATATATATATATATAAATTTTTTAAAATCATTTTCTTGTTATACGATATTTATGTTTAATGAGTTTGATTAATAAGGCTGCGTATAAACTTTTTATTTTGAATATATTTTGATATTAATATATATTTACAATATTTCACTGACCTATAGCGGTCAGTATCGTCAGGTGTAATATTGATTCCACCTGATGATTTATACATATATATATATATTTATATATATATATGTATATATATATATATATATATATATATATATATATATATATATATATATATATATATATATATATATTTATATATATATATATATTTATATATATTTATATATATATATTTATATATATTTATATATATATTTATATATATTTATATATTTATATATATTTATTTATATATATTTACATATATTTATTTATATTTATTTATATATATTTATATATATATTTATATATATTTATATATTTTTAATCCATAAATTTACCTTTATTATCTTTTTAATTCTAAAGGCGCCTTAATGAATTTTGAAAAATATTAACCTGTGTTAAAAGTTAAATGAACAGATTTGCTAATATTTAAATTAAAATTGAAATTATATTGATAGTAAATAAGGTTATTAAATGCTTTATATTAATAGTTGTATTAATATGTTTATAATGTTTATTAATAATGATAATATACTATTCAAATATTAATATATAAATATTTAGCCCTCGGAATTAGGGTTGGCATTTTGCAATGCTGACCTAATTGCTGACAAAGTGTTTTAGGGCAGCAAAAATTGCCAACCTCTTCCTATGTTAAAATCCTATGGTAAAACCTTTGTATCAAATTTGCTGACCTGATGCCAATCTCTAACAGATTAAGGTTGGCAAAATATTGACGATCTCATTTTTCCTAATTCCAAGGGCTAAATATTTACATATTAATATTCAAATAGTTATTTTATATATAGGCAATAACTATTTGAATAAAATATGCATAATTACTTTTAAATTAATTTTGCAAATATTGTAGGATTTGTAAATATTTATTAAAAATTGTTTAAAGTATTTAAAATATTTAATAACTACTAAAATTAAAGTTACTAAAATAAGGTTACTAAATGTTTAAAATACTTTAAACAATTTTTAATAAATATTTACAAATATTGTAGTATTTGCAACTTTACAAATAGTGTATATTTGCAAGCATTTGTTAAAGTCTTAAATAAAACAGTTTTTCTTAGCGTAACTTAATTAACATACTTATGCCCACCAGTAAATTCATGTATCAAATGAAATGGATTTTTACAACAAGACACTATTTTAAATTAACTCATTATCTTCAGATAAAACAAAAGGACAAACACAAATAAAAAGGTAAACCCAAATGATTGAAATGACGATTAAAAAAATGATGATTAATAATCATGTTGCAGCACCAGTGTAAACCAGTGTAAACAATTTTTTGAGTACAACTCCGACTCCAACTCCAAAGCAAAATTTTTGAAAAATTCTTTGAATTTTTTTAAAAATATTATGCGATAAGTTAAAAAAAAGATTTTTGACAAATTTATGAAACGTTCTTTGAGGTTTAGTATAAATATAAGATTAATTAAATGTTTTATACATGCATGTGCAATGCCGTGAAGTTTTACTATTGGAGTCAGAGTTCAAATTTTGTTTAGCGACTCCGACTCTGCTAAAATAGGGATAACCACAGTCCTGGTTTAAACAATGTAAATAGGGATGGGGGGGCTATCAAAAAAACAATGCTGCCCCCTTCTCTACACGTTGAAAAAAAATGGAATACACAAATTATCTCTGAGTTTGTCACTGCCTAAGGTATTTAAATGAAAATAAGTAATTTTTTTTTACGCTTTTTTGAGTGTAAATTTATTATTGGCTCCAACATGATTAAATAAAATACTCTTATTATTTATTGAGGTTTAAATATTTTTTTGTGGTTCACAGACTGAAAAATGCTTTTAGGTTCACTGGGCGAAAAGAGCCTATTGAACATTCGGCATATTACATTCTTACACAATGTCCAGATGGTGTTTTTGAAGCTGTTCCAGTTCAAGCTTGGTATAATTTTATGCCTGATATCAACTACTCCACATTGACTGCTGATGAAGTAGAACATGAATTTTCAAAGCGTGATAGAACACTTAGCTATTTTACAAATAAATACAAGTTAGGTACATCCACTGAAGAAGAAGAAACTGGAAAAAAGAAAAATAAAGAGGATGATGGCGGTTTAGTGAGTTTCATGCATTTTATCTCTTTGTTTTTTAGAAAAAGCTTTACAAGCTCAATCAAATAAAAAGAAAGTTGTTTTATATTTTATATACTTAAAACCATCACTTCACATATAAAATGAAATGACCTTATCACTTACATATAAAATATGTATACATATATGTGTGTGTGTGTGTTTGTACGTATATATATATATATATATATATATATATATATATATATATATATATATATATATATATATATATATATATATATATATATATGTATATATATATATATATATATATATTATGTATGTATATATATATATATATATATATATATATATATATATATATATATATATATATATATATATATATATATATATATATATATATATATATATATATATATATATATACACACACACACACACACATTAGGGGTATAATATTTTTACCAACTCAATGAGCATGTCATATTCTAATTAACTTTTTTAAAAAATTAGGAGAATTTAGTTTCATTATGTCTCTAGAAAAAAACTCACCACTGAACCACTAGAAAGCAAAGCCAAAAGCTGTTAATCACCTAACAAATGCGCCTAGAAATTCATTACTGGTAAATTGAAGTGAAATATTTTTCACTTTGTTTTAAAATAATAAGTTATGTTCAAATAAGTAATAAAGATATATATCACTTAAATAAAGCTATATTGGTAAAACATTAAAATGTTTAAAAACTATATTGATAAAACTACATTAACTAAAAAGGATTGAATTTGCTTTAATAAATATTTCTAATACAAAGTTTCTTCAGATTTGCAACGACTTTTGATATCTTCTAAAACTTTACTGCTCGTTCAGCACAAATGTTGGATCTTTGTGTATTTATAGGCGAAGGAATATCTCACCAAAACATTGTAAATGTATTGATAGCCTTTAGATGATCTTTAATGGCTTCCTCCAATTCTTTACCATTTTTCAGGTTGAACATTTGGCTTGAAAACCAGATATCTGCCCACTTTCCAGCAACAAGCTTAACTGCCATCTTAAGTCATTGTCTGAAGGAATTAGTATGTAAGAAAGAAGTAAATAAATTGCCCGAAAGTTCCATCTAGATTGGCTAATATTTGGTAAACTTTTCAAATTAATCTTAGAAAATTTCTTTTCATTCCAAAAGTATTTCAATGGTATTGAAAAATGGAAAGTCAGAGACAATTTTTTAGGCTTTAGCCTAAAAAATTGTCTCTGACTTTCTTTTATACCATCAACTAAAATTCATTCTCATGTTACTAGTCATTTAAATAAGTATCATCCTTTAACTGTGATTGTTCCTGAGTGTTCCAAAAATTCTTGTTTATCTAATTTTTTGCAAAACATCTTTAAAGTCGTCTGTCAATTGTTAGCTCTATAAATTTCATCTTTTTTTTTTCAGCAACTTCTAACTTTAATAGCCTAACCTCTTTTTTATTGTTCTTTATTACGACTATATGATGTTCTGCCTCAGCTATCTTTTTTCTATCAAAATGCTAACACAAATTCTTGATCTTCAGTTTTTTGGTTAATTTATCTTGTAATTTTTTTACCTTCTCTGATGACTACCATATAGATTGCTAGCTGAGTTGGTGCAGGAATATTGACACCAGCTATCTGAAGCTGTTGAAACACTGTGGCAGCTTTTTGTGTACTTAGCTTTGCTTGACAAACTAATTTAACAGCCTCGACTGTCCTCTGTTTAATTTTTTGTTTATTGAAGGTTAATAATCACTACGAATGTCACTTATTGTTCATTACTACTTTCGTGTTCTTCTCTGTATTTATTCAATTGAAGTTGATTGCATCGATGGAGCGTTTCCAATTTAAATTTTATTTGAAAGATGTATTTTTTTAGAATTATCAAGCTTCATTGTAGTATATCCCACTCTACCAGATGTCTCTAATTGCTTTAAATAAAGATTTTTATCTTCAGAATGCTCTTTCGTTTTTTGATTTCTATTTGTATCTTTTTAATCAATTTTTCTATTATTCTTGGCACTGATCTTTTGTCTATTATAGGAATTAAAATTAGCCCATAGTTCTAAACATTCATCTGAAATTTTTTTAATTCATCTTTTCACATCTTTACAGTTTGATGCCTAGCTGATGTATCAGTTAATTATTTGCCAATTTGTTGGCATTTTATGTATTGCTCCTAATGATTTATGAGATTTACTCTCATGTAATCTTTTACTTTTGTCAAAGTGAATCAAATTTTTTTCCACATCTCTTGATATTTTGGTTTCAGTAGAGTTTTTGTTTGACATATTTATGCTTGTGCAATAACTAAACTTTTAATGCCTTATACAATTTATTATTATATTAAATTAAATTATGCAACGCTAAATTTCACTAATAAACAAAATAAAAAGTTTTTCCTTGCAGAGCATAATGTTAAATCGAAAATCAAAAGAGCGCATTAAGTTTAATGAAAATTGCCACGTAAAAGAGCTTAAGATCTCCTATTTCTGTTTTTAAAACAAATTTACTGTTGTGTAATTTATGTACAATCCTTTAGGAACTATAATTCATTTGGTACATGAGTTTTTTAAAAAGATGTATCTTAAAATTATTGTCATTTTTTTCAAAATATAAAAGCTCATAACTACATGACAATGGTCATTTGAAAATCTTCAAATTATTTATTATTTTATACCCCTAATATACATATATACATACACACACACACACACACACACACACACACACACACACACACACACACACACACACATACACACACACACACATATATATATGTGTATATATATATACACACACAAATATATATATATATGTATATGTATATATAAATATATATATATATGTATATATATATATATATATATATATATATATATATATATATGTATATATATATGTATATATGTGTATATATATATATATATATATATATATATATATATATATATATATATATATATATATATATATATATATATATATATATATGCGGTAGTGGTGTAGTGGTAAGAGCTCTCGCTTTGTAAGCAAGAGGTTCGGAGTTCGACTCCCACCATGTCCCTGGAAGTACCGCGCTCAACTTAATTTCTCCGCGCAGCGGCCTTGCTTGTCAAGGTTCGTGTTTTGGAGTTAAAGAGTTGAGAGAGGGTTGTACCACAATTTACAACAACAAAAAAAAAAAAAAAAAAAAAACGAGTAGCCTCCTCGACTGTAGTGGCCCCCTCGGGCCTTTGGGAGGTGAATAATTAAAATATATATATATATATATATATATATATATATATATATATATATATATATATATATATATATATATATGCATATATATATATATAAATTTTCAATTTATATGATAGATTTTAATGTTGTTTGATGTTTTGTTATTTTAAATATCATCTTGAGTAAGAAACTTTTTTAAATCTGATTCAGATTTTAATATATCACATAGTTTTTAAGAGTGTTGCTAGTTATTGTATGTCATTGCTAATTATTGAAACCAGATAAAATCAAACAATCAAATAAAATTAGTTTCACTGCTTGTTTAACACAATAACAACGTACTTAAACTCTTTTTTGCAGTTTAAGTTTAAAGAGAAGTGTAGCTGTGTTTCTGATTTACTAGCAAGAACATTCTTACTGAGTTTTATTGCAAAGAAAAGATTTAAAAAACATTTTATAAAAAATTCTAATATACTCCATTGACCAGGAAGGATCAATATATTTTAATATTATTCCTTTTACCTGTTGTTTCTTGTTACTTGTTGCTGGTGTAAAACATTGAGTATGAAATCATCTCTAGTTTCAGGGAATATCTATGAATCAGGGAATCAGAGAATCAGGGAGTGTCTGTGACTAGCTTATGTTATAATATCTAATCTCTGTGACTATCTTATGTTATAATATCTAATGTCTGTGATTATCTTTTGTTATGATATCTGATGTCTGTGACTATCTTGAGCTGAACACAAGCAGAAAATCTTGAAGCAGCATTTTTCAGCACTTGTCAATGATTTTTTTTTTTTTTTTGTCACTGCTTAATTTGATCCTACTGCAAAAAGCAATTTTAGTTTCAAATCACATGAAAAACAAAGCTAATTCAACTCCAGTTACAATTTCCAGTGTTTTTATAAATAAAGGACTTTCTTAACATAGCACTATTATGAATGCCGATTTTTGCATTTGTTGATTCAAAGCATTTAACAAGCCAGCCATTTTATGAGCTCTTGCCATTTCATTAACTTTTGCCTCTGAATCTCAGCAAACTATCATTTATCATTTTTCTCTTGTCCATTATTTGATCTGAAGAAATTGATATCGCAAAAATTTAATAAAATTGTTGGAATGCAAACCATCAAAAGTTTTTTTGATCTGAAGAACTTGATATTGCCAAATTTTAATTAAAATTAAATTTTAAATTTTAATAAAACTATAGGAATGATAAATATCATCATTAAAAGTACTATCAAAAACCATCAAAACCATCAAAAGTTTCTTTAATAATAATAGTATTTTTGCTGTTTTTTAAAGAGAAACTTTACAACTTTCCTAAAGGTTTTAACTTCACTTTCCTTTAGTATTAATACAGCATTTGGTTTGAGTCGTTGAGAAGCTTGTTAACAGGAGTGTTACCATTATCTGGTAAACCTTGATAATGGCATTTGTATAACAATAACAAAATCACTTTATTTTATTTCAAAATCAAAAACAGACAGCGCAATACAATTTTGTTAGTTGGCAGCTGGTTATAACAAGCCTTCCCAGGAAAGGCGTGCAGTTTTTTGTCTCGTATGACCACACACGATTATATTATTTTAGAAAACGTGAACACTGCCGTTTGCAAGTTATATAATAATGCTAAAAAAGTTTCAAAAACAAAAAAACAAAACTAACAAAATAAAAAGAGATTGAAATAGAAAAAAATAAAAACAAATTAATAATTTAAATAGTTTGTGTAGTTTTTATTTCTGTTTCTTTCGAGTTACATTTATTAAATAAGGCAAAGCAAAAAAAAAAACAGTTTGAAGTCTACAATAAAAAGGATGATTTTCCTTTTCTTAATTTTTTTTAATAGGATAGCAAAAATACAAATTGCAATGTGTTTGTAAAATTTATTTGTATAATTTTAATGTAACATCAAGGGTTGAATTAAGCGAATGCAAAATGCAAAATCTAGAAAAATATCAAGTAATCAAAATTTTAGTTTATACAAAACCGTGTTCCTTGTTTTTAAGGGGAGAATCAACTTAAATTTTTTAGCCAAAAAATAAAAAATAAACTTACGATTACAAAAGTAACAACACTCTAGTCACTAACTGCATTACAAAAGTAATAACACTATAATAGTGTTATTACTTTTATAACGCACTTAAAACTTTTAAAATTCATTCTTTGTTCAAGCAACATTAGTATCCCCAAATTTTAATTAAAGTAGAAAAATATCTAGAAGAATAAAGTGGATGTTTAAATGATATTATAACTAAAGTAACTTATAAAAACGTGACAAACAACTTTATGAAAACGTATCGTATTAAAAGTTAAGCATTATGAAAAACGTTACTAATGGACCGTAAAAACATGCTTAATTTTAAAATTAACCAAAAAAAAATTTTTATTGGTTGACACAAATTAACCAATAAAAAATTTTTATTGGTTGATTTTAAAATTAATGCGCGTTTTTACGTAAAGTTTTTCATAATGCTATACTTTTTATAAAGTAACGTTGTTTAAGCGATATGTGAAAGTTCCTGAAATTTTTAGTAATATTTGATTATCCGCTTTATTTTTTCTAGATGCTTTTCTACTTTAATAAATGTTTGGAATTAATAATGTTGTTTAAAAAAAAAATGAACTTTAAAAGTAATAAGTGCTTTATAAATGTAATAACACTATTATAGTTTTATTATTTTTATAATGCAGTTAGTGACTAAAGTGTTATTACTTTTGTAGTCGTAAGTTTATTGTTTTGTTTTTTGTAACTTTCTCGCTAGCAAACTTTTAATAATTTGTTCCTTTTAAACAAAGTACACAGCTTTGCACGAACTAAAATTTTAAAGACCTAATAATTTACCAGAATTTGCAAGCGCGATGGTATAATTTAACTCTTGATATAAACTTCTTACATTATAATTATACAAATATATTTTACAAACAGATGACGATACATATTTTCTCTTTCCTCTTTAAACAAAAAAACACATAAAATATGGAAAAGTCATCCTTTTTAACTCCCAAAACCGTTGTTTTGTTTTGTTTTTCTGTTGCCAATAATAATAACCACCAAGAAAAAACAAAAATAAAAACAACACACAAATTGTTTCAACTATTATTATTGTTTTCTATTTAAGTTTACTTTAATTTCTTATGCAGTTATTAAATCTAAAACTATTTTTGAGTAACGCATATAATATAACTTGCGCAAATAGCCGTGATCACGTTCTCTAACTTGAAAAACATTTTCGTGGTCGTACGAGAAAAAAACGCCTTTCCTGGGAAGGCTTGTTATAAGAAACCATAACAATAATATGAATCTATTGTTCTAACAAATATGTGGAAAATTGTGTGGAGTAGGTTGGAGTAGGTAAATCAATTTGTAAATTTGTAAAAAAAAATTTGTTTTAGAATTGTTAAAAAGTTTGATTTTAGATTATTCATGATAACTTGGAAGATGCTGACACGGATAACTATCCAGATGCTAATTTTGGTTCCGATGAAGAGGATAATGAAAAAAAAGCATGTAAGATGTTTTATAAACAATAGTAAGTTTAAACTTTTTGATAGATTGTAATAGTTTAAGTTATTACAAAAAATTTTCAGAAAAACCTTTTGCATTTATTAGCAGTTTAAAATTTTTTTAAATATTTAATAGCAGTGCCAGTAAAAAAGAATAAAAGTGCTTTTGCAAGTAAACCAAAAAAAAGTGATGATGATGGATCTGACGAAGAAGAAGAAACCGAAAATTTTGAATCTAAAGAAGTTGATTATATGTCTGAATCTTCATCTGGTATATTTAAAATATTTTACAATAAACTCTAAATAATTTTTTTCTTTCTTTACCAAACTAGTTTGTTAATTTTTTAGTGGTTGTAGGGGAGACCGGGGCTAGTTGCCTCTGTTTTTACTCTTTGAGCTCTGTAGCCCTAACAGCAAAATTATTTGTAAATATTAAAGTGCAATCTTAAAAAGTATGAATTTTTTTTGTAAGAAATGAATTTTTTTCAATATTGTTGAAAATTAAAAAAAAAAATTAATTTTCTAAAAATATATATATTTTTTTCCATAGTAAATGCAATGAGCCAACTTACCCCGTGAAAATTTTACCAACTTACCCCAAAAGCCTTTTTTCAATAAACAGTTTATAGATCCTGAAAAAAACAGTAACTATTAAAAAAAAGTCTTATTGGAAATTATAAACCAATTGTGACTGGAATTTTTACAATTTTCAAACTATTTTCTTTGTAAAGTAAAAAGTTCCAAAAGTTATGTTTTTGTCCAAAAAACACATAAATCCTAAAATCTCCCATGCACATACGCAAGTTCTAACAATACTATATTGAATGATTAAATGGTCAATTAGGAAGGTTCTATGTAATTGTTGTCACTTTCTGATAAATGGCTATGAAGATAAACGCAGTTTGTCAACTTACCCCTGCTGCCAACTAGCCTCTGTCCCCCCTACACATTCACAAAAATTTTGGAGAATAACACTATCAAATAAGTTTTGACATCAAGTTTTTGAAATATAGAGCATTTGTTTATTAAATGTTTATTTTTAAAAAAACCTCAAGCACGCACTTATACACTCATATGTATGTATCTATGTATATAAGCACATATATATACACACTCATACATATGTATATAAGCGCACATGTATGTATGCATGTATGTATGAATGTATGTATGTATGTATGTATGAATGCATGAATGTATGAATGTATGTATGTATGTATGTATGTATGTATGTATGTATGTATGTATGTATGTATGTATGTATGTATCTACACATATAGCAAAAAAAAAAGTTTGCAAAAGTAAAAATCTAAATTTAATCCCTTTTATTTTACTTTCTAGATAATGAGGTTCTTGACATTGAAGATGAACCAGACCCCAATAAAGAAGATGCTGCAAAGCCTAAAGATGACCTTAACATTTTCTCTGATTCTAGTGATGAAGATGCTGAAGATAAAGATCTTAATGAAGCTGGAAAGGAGCTTAAAGCTATTTTAAAAAAAGAGATCGGTGGAGAAAGCAGTGAAGAAGAAGTAGACGATGAAGATATAGACGATGAATACTCAAAATCAGCAATTTTCATGCAAGGTAATTTATTTTCATGTAAGGTAATTTGTTTATTTTCATGTAAGGTAATTTGTTTATTTTTATGCAAGGTTATTTTTTTTAGTATAATCATAGCACTATGATTTGAATTTTTTTAATTGGAAAAACTTATTTTGAAGGTGGAAAGAAAAAAAAGAGCAGTAATTCTAACTCAGTTCAAGGAAGTCGCTCATCAACTCCGATTCAAAATGAGCTAGCATCTGATACACTTAATCAAGCTGTAAAGTCGCTTAAAGAAGGTAAAAGCAGATTCTCATTAAAATCAAGATTTTTTTTTTATTATTTTATTAATTACATTCAGTGTTGTAAAAAGTACTTTCAAAAAAGTATTTTAAATACAAAAACAAATATTGGTCAAAAAGTTTATTAAATACAAATATAAAATACTTTCAAGCAAAAGTATAAAAAATGCAAAATACAAAATACAAGCATCACAAGTTTCTTACAAGTTTGCTGAACCGTTGGCATGATAAATCCCAAAAAACAAATATCTCCCCTTAAATTTTGTCCAGAGTATCAACATTGCTGATTTATGATACCTGTTACTGATTCAGCAATAGGTTTCATAAATTGTTTGCATTCTTCTAATTTTTTAAACTTCACTTACAATGACACAATTTCAATGCATTCATGATTTGAGGAGCTTTTCTTTTGCTCTTGGTCTCAAAAGTTGACATATGACATCATATGTAAAATTTGATCTATTCTCCCCTGGTGTCCTCAATAAAACTTTTGTAATATTTTCCACAACATCAAATGCTTGTGTGTTTTGGCTGACATGTGACAATAATTTAAAGCATTTGGTCATTGCATCCCTGTGTCGTTGTTTTTATTTGATATTAAATTGTTTACCTTGCAGAAGAACTTTGGTACTTGCTATTAGTTGTCGTTGAACTCAATGATAGTTGAACTCAATAGACCATCAATTCTACTTCAAAATATTTTTGCAGGAACACCTTTCTTGTGCAGTCCAGCAACATTTAGACCTCTTCTTCAAACATTTCTGGACATTTCTTTCTTGAAGTTTGTTCTTTTTCGATTTTTTATTTTATTTTTAAATATAAAAAAAAGTGTTTTGAATTTTGAAAGACATTGAAAGTACAAAACACATAGAAAATTATATTTAGAATACAAATACTAACTACATGACTAAGAAAGTATTTTAAAAAACAAAAACTTTAAAAATATCAAAGTACATATTTGAAATACTAGTATTTAAAATACTTTACAACAGTGATTACATTACATAGTTTGTGTGATTAGATGTTTTCTTAAAACAAGAATATAAATTGTATATTTTTAAATACATATTCAAAGACTATTACTGCTGGTGATTTAGGTTATATAGCAGTAATAAATAAGTAGGTCTTATGTAATTAGATTATATGGCAGTGATAAATCATCAATTAGATTATATGGTATTGATAAATAACTAGGTTATATGGCAACGATGAATAAATAATTAGATTATATGGCAGTGATAAATAAATAATTATTTTATAGGACATGCCCTATAAAATAATTATTTATTTATCATATAAAGTCACTATCCTCAATATAAAGTTACTATCCTCAATTTAGTCATACTATTCGTGAGTGAACCATCTTGATTTATAAAATCTAAGTGTGAAACCTAAATAACTTGGTGGTCATACATATAGTGAAACCTATGTAACTTGGTGGTCATACATTTAGTAAAACTGAAGTAACTTGGTAGTCATACATGTAGTGAAACCTAAGTATCTTGGTGGTTATACAGTATATTGAAGCCTAAGAAACTTGGTGGTTAAACATGTAGTGAAGCTTTAGTAACTTGGTGGTTATACAGTTTACTGAAACCTCAGTAACTTTTTGTTTATACAGTATATTGAAATCTAAGTTACTTGGTGGTTATTTGATATAATGAAACTTAAGTAACTTGGTGGTTATACAGTATAGCAACCTAAGTAAGACCTATAGTAAACTAAGTAACTTGCTGGTTATAGATAAACTTTTAAAGAAATTTTTATACAGCATATTATTTACAATTTTTTTTAATATTTTTGGCTATCATTTTTTTTAATATTTTTGGCTATCATTTTTTTAATATTTTTGGCTATCATTTTTTTAATATTTTTGGCTATCATTTTTTTAATATTTTTGGCTATCATTTTTTTAATATTTTTGGCTATCATTTTTTTAATATTTTTGGCTATCATTTTTTTAATATTTTTGGCTATCATTTTTTTAATATTTTTGGCTATCATTTTTTAATCACAATTCTTTAATATTTTTGGCTATCATTTTTTAATCACAATTCTTTAATATTTTTGGCTATCATTTTTTAATCACAATTCTTTATTTGTAGTAAATTATAAAGTTTGTGATAAATTATAAATGCAGTACATTAAATTGTCATAACTAATTAATTTTTATTTATTATATATTATTTTATTCCGAATAAATAATTTTTATAGACTTTTTCAAACCAATATTTTTTGTCTATTTCCACCTCTGGGCTCACTGTGCTGTAGTACATATCTTTTGAAAAATTCAGTGGACTGTAATATATATATTTTGATAAATGTAGTATACTGTAGTGCATAAACTTTGATAAATAATATAAGTAATTTTTTTATTTTTCAGGTAAAGCTGGTTCTAAACGTGCACATGAAGCTTCATTATCTAGTACCCAATCTAAAAAACCAAAGATCAAGCCATCTGGAAGTCTCACTGTAAATGATAATAAAAAGTCAGACATGAAAGCTTGGGGCTCTAATAGTCCATCATCAGATTGCATCACGGAAGAAACTATTCGTCGATATTTGATGCATAAACCTATGACTACTACTGATTTAATGAGGAAATTTAAAACAAAAAAGACTTGTTTAAGTAAAGAACAAACTGTAACAGCTATTGCTGCAATTTTAAAAAAAATTCAACCTCATCAAGAAAAAATTGATGGCAAACTTTTCTTGTCCATTAAACCAAGGAAATAAAGTTTATATTTATACATTTTTAGTTAATTTCTTAAGTTCTGTAAAAACTGTGATCAATGTATGAAAGATTTTATTTATAAAATATTTTTTGAGTTAATAGTTACAAACCTGTTGTCACAAAATTGTTGCACTTTGTTTTACATGTAACATTGGGATATTAAACTGTTCCACACATATTATATAGCATAGCATATAATATTCTTTCACAAAACATTACAAGTTTTATACAGGCATGCCTTACAAAGAGTATAATTGACTTAATGCCATATAAAATCTTTTATTGTACATTGTCAGATTTATTACATCATGTTACATGTTGCTACATTATGTTGTTACATCATGTCACATTTGTTGTTACATATCACTTCCATTTTTGAACCATGTCATATCTATGGTAACACCATATTTCATACTGATGCTACACAATATCACATATTTTTATATTGCAATAAATCATCACACTTTTGACTCAAGTTAAAGTGTGATTAGAAAAACAAGTGTTAATGTCAATTGTATTTTAATACATATTTAATTTTTGATCAAACATTTAGTTTAATTAAAATAATATTTTTTGACATCAGAAGATATTTTCAAGTATGTTAACAAAAGACCTTGGTGAAGTGCTTTTATCTTTAGGAAATGAAGCTCAGGAACTTTATTTGCCTCGAAAAATAAAATTGTTAGAGCATCCACCTTCTGCATTAGTTTTTTTACGTGAATATGTCATGCCAAATATACCAGTTGTTATTAAAAATGGAGTTAAGCACTGGCCTGCTATAAAAAAATGGACAGACGATTATCTAGTTGATATTCTAGGTTAGTTTTTTGTTTTATCATGAAGGGCTTCTTTGTTTAAAAAAAAAAATTATTGTCAATAGCAAAGAAATAGAACATTTTTCTTTTAAAATTTTTTGGTGGATTTAGCATCTGTATATAGAATATTAAGTGGCCTACATCTCTAGAAGAAACAGCTCAAATGCTTAGTTGTGGTGACAACACTCTCTTAACTCTATAATTTCCCAACACAAACCTTGATGAACAAAGCTGCTGCGCGGAGAAACAAGTTAAAGACAGCAAGCATGTATACGGTTTTATCTCTGTCCTAAAACTTACTAAACCATGCAGATGTGTACAAGGGGGAGGTGGGTCCTAAATCAGTGGTTTTACTGTTTATTTACATTATGGATGCACCAAATATAAAAAAAACACTCTAGATTGTGAACAAAAATTCAACTGAATATAAGTAGAGTGCGAGCAGAAGTCTAATAAAAGTGTGTGTTCAAATTGTTGATGTTAAAATATAATAAAAGTATGTGGTCAGATTGTTAATGTTAAAGTTAAAGGACTAGTTCACTTCACTGGTTATATATTTTTTTTAATTTAGGTAACAAAAGTATAACTGTAGCTCTTACACCAAATGGATATGCGGATGCTCCACAAGGTGATTATTTTGTAATGCCTTATGAAATAGAAACAACTTTTAAAAATTTTCTTCATGATCTTCAAAGAGAAGACAAGACAGATGTTTTATACCTTCAAAATCAAAATTCAAGTTTTACTAAACAGTTTAGTGAACTGATACCTGATGCTGGTACATTCTTTACTTTTGCCAGAGCTGAGGAGTGAGATCTGTAAATTTGAAAAAAATCTTATTTTTTGCCAAAAATGAGACTGTCCTTTACTTAAAATATTTTGAATAAAAAATGAGACTGTCCTTTACTTAAAATATTATGAATAAAAAATAATAAATAGTTCCTTAAATAGCTAATAATTGTTTAGGTTTAATTATTTTGTTTTAATTTATAATATTAAGTTTGTTGACCTTCAGTTCTGGCTCCTCATCTATCATATAAGTGATTCTGCTTTTTTATGTTGTTTAAATGTACAATTTTAATTTAAATGTACAATTGTAATTAAAATTATATAATTTTTTTAATTATGAGTTTTACTTAAAAAAATATATATTATTTATTGATATTAATTTTAAATATGAGTTTTACTTAAAAAAAAAAAAACCTTAAAGCTTTATTTTAATTTTAGCTCTAGATATTTCTTGGGCAAGTGAAGCGTTTGGAAAAGCTCCTGATGCAATAAATTTTTGGATGGGAAGTAGTAATTCAGTCACTAGTATGCATAAAGATCATTATGAAAATATGTATGCAGTGGTAAGGGGAGCGAAAAAATTTATTTTACATCCGCCTACTGATTTACCTTACTTAATTCATAAACAATACATACCTGCAAGATACAAAAAAGAAAATGGTGTTTACAAAATTTTTGAAGAAAGAAATATTGAATGTTGTCAAATATGTTTAAAGGAATATGTATCTACTGAAATTAAACATAGTAACATGGCTACTAAAGTTACACATCCAGTTATATCTGCTGAAATTACACAAGATAACATTCCAAATAAAGTTTCAAATTTAAATTGCATTGATAAATTCAATATTGATATAAAAAATGCGAGTGATAGCATCTCTATAAACAATCAAAATATAAGCTGCTCACATGATTGCCATATACTACCTAGAATACCTTGGATTGCAACAAATCCTTTGAATCTTGATGATAGAACAAATTTTTTGTATAAGCAGTCTCATCCTCTGGAAGTAACAGTACAATCGGGGGATCTTCTTTACCTTCCTTCTTTATGGTTTCATCATGTACAGCAAGAAGATAACACAATTGCAATAAACTTTTGGTATGACATGGATTATGATATAAAATATAATTATTTTAAATTTATTGAACAAATCAACAATTTGCTCAGACATACTGACATTCATTGAGTTAATGCTTTAAATCAAATATTAATGTCAAATATCAAATTTACATGTCAAATATACTAATTTTAAATACATTTTGAGTATTTTGATTTCAGCAAATTTTGGGTTCTTGAAAAAATGTTAAAAAACCTTTTTTTAACTTCAAGAAACTACTTTAACATATGAATTATTTATATCTTAACTATTATTTATATCATATCTTAAACTCATATTTATTTGAAACATAAAAACATATATATATATATATATATATATATATATATATATATATATATATATATATATATATATATATATATATATATATATATATATATATATATTCCCTACTTTTATAAAAAAGGTTCATATTTCTAAAACTTTTTATTGGTTCTCACAAGTAACTCTGTTACATTTTTCTAAAAATGGAAATAAAAAGCTGGGTTTAGGGGGGCTACCTCAAGTCTGAACTTTACAACCTGACCTTAAATGCTAAAAAGAAAAGTTTTTTTTAAGTATGTCTTGTTGGTTTTCAAAAGAACTGAAATTATATTAAAAAAATTTAAAAATAGTTATTATTTTATAAAGAATTTTGGATTTTACTGAGTAGAAAGTGACATTTTGTAACTAAAAATAAAACAAGTGCATTTTAACAAGATTTTTCTAATTATTTCTAAATTTTTTTTCCTGATGTTTTTTATATGTGCATGTGTGTAATGTTTTTAAAATAAAAAAATATTTGTTACTAAAGAAATTACAAAGAAACTGTAACCAGTTTTTCAAAAAATTTTTAAATTTAGAGTTTTTATGCTTTTAACACTTTTTCACAAGGTGCTTAATTTGGTGGCTATTTTTACATGCTTTATCCTTACTTGTAAAGTATTGACAGTGGGGAAGTATGAAATTGAAAAGCTGTTTCTACCATAACAAAAACAAAAAGGACCACCAACAATTAATTGCTGTTTGGAGCAAACCGAGTTAAATAACATTTCTTTGCACATATTTTACTGAGTTTTTACTTTTCTCAAAATCTTTTATATGTCTTTTATGTCACATATAAAAAATTCTGTGCATAAAAAAAGTTTGATTAAATAATTTCACTTGTAACTATTGTTTTATGCTTGATTTTTATGCTTATCACATAAAACTATTTTTCATGTCATTGTCGAATTTTTTTTATGTTGTTGTCGATTTTTTTTATGTCGTTGTCGAATATTTCTCACAGTATTTGTGTGTGTGGTGAGTGTAATTGTGTGTTGATGTACTCTTTCTCTTGATTTCTCTTTTTATAAAGTGATATTTTGCATAACAAATTTATAATAAACGTTTCATATTTTACTTTTACATACTAATTTTTCTCAATATATAAATGCAATACACAAAATAAATGAATATATATAAGTTTATTCAGCAAAATTTTTTGAAAAAAAAGTTATACAAAAAGTAACAAGAGTTGTATGTAACAACTTCAAGAAGAAGAATTTTTGTGACAGCTGGATATCTTGTAACCGGTTTTCCAGAAATGACTGAAAATATCATGAACAAATTCAGCAGCTTTTTTGTTCCTGGGTCATTCCATATTAAATCACCTAATGGTCCCCAGGGTACCTCCTCAAATTTGCTTCAAATTTGACCACCCACATTTTTTATGAAAAAACCACAATCCTGAAAATTTCAGCTTGATTGACCGAACAATTCAAAAGTTATAATTGAATTAATATTGAACAAAATTGGAAAAATTTGAGTATTTGGAGCTTACAGTAGATTTTTTTGATTTTTAACAGATCATAACTTTTTAAATAAAATAGATGATCACCTGAAATTTTTAAGGGTAGCAGTTTTCACCCAAATTATCTATTTTTGTATTTGACTGATTTTAAACAGTTTTTAAGTACTTGTACCTCAAAGTTGCTAAATAACCCAATATTAGAAAAAAATTTGGAAACTTTAATGTGCTACAGTTCAATACCAATAGACAAGGTGTGCCAATTTTTTGTTACTTTTGTGTACTTAGAGTAACCACTTGTGAAAAAAATTAAAATTATGTGTTAAAAGTTATTTTAGCATTTGCAGTAGCCTGTTAAAATATCTTTTTTTTTTTTTAATACAATAAATTACATTAACTTTGTAGGCATAAAAAGTAGCATAGACAGTTAGAATAAATTATGAAACATTTACAGGCAAGATTCTATATATAGACAACCACCAAAAAAAAATTAAAGACCTACACTCTTATGAAATAAGAGTATAGGTCTTTAATTTACTTAAAAAAAAAACTTAAAAAAATACTTCAATTGCTTCAAGAGTTTGTATTAAAATCCTCTGCACAGTATTTTCTGAATTTTATTATTTTAGTTTTTAATATTACAAGAACCAAAAAGTAAAAGTTTTGTGTATGCAGAAATAGTTATATGTTGAAATAGTTTACTGGTTGCATTTACACAGTTTTAATCACATTTATACTTGAGATTTCATTTTTACGATTTTATTACTGGAAAAATATAAAAAAAGTTTATTTTTTGATTATAATGTTACATGTTACACCCTCGATTTTAATACTTTTAGATTAGTAAAAAATATCAGAAAAATGTGTTTTAAATGAAGATTGTGATAAAATGTTATATTGTAGAATGATAGAAAGAATAAGACTAAAAGATACTGATATTGAAGATTTAATGCAAAGGATAGGACTTTACTTTTGAACCTAATGAGGAGATATGTTTCTACCATAATAAAGCCTAAGATGAAGCTGCTGAAGAAAATTTTAGTTGTTCAGACCTTGATAAAACAGTTCTTAATAAGAGCGTGTCTTTATTGGTAATATCTCCACTCATAAATGTAAAAAGACATGAAAAATTAGGATATGGAAAGCAAAAGGCTAAAAAATTGCAACAAGTAAGACAAACCTAGTAGCGTCAGCATTGGATATAGACCCAAAAGATAAAGTATCTGAAAAAGAGTAAAAAAATATAAACTGTATTGATTTAGACCAACTGTTAGATGCAATAAAAAATAAAATTAAAAATAGTTTGAAGGATGAAAAAGTTCAACTACTAACACTAACTTCTGATAGTTAGTCAATTGAAAAAACTTGCAAAACATTTTGCAGAACATCTTGTTAAAAAAGCTTTAAAAATTGAAAAAATGAAAAAGGTATACTTGCTAAACCTGAGTCTAAAATAAGACAGCCTTTGAAAGATATTGTTAAACAAAAAGTCTTTGAAATTTATGAATCCCTAGAGTTCACAAGACAATGTCCAGCAAAAAAAGACTTTGTTTCTGTGCGTATAAGTAATGTAAAAGTTTATAAACAAAAACGTTTAATATTAGTTCAATGAAAGGAACTTTATCTTGAGTTTAAGAAGTTAACCCTAAACACAAAGTTGGATTCAGCAAATTCTTTGAACTAAGGCCAAGGTGGTGCATTACAGTTGACAGTAGTGGAAGTCACTCAGTTTGCGTATGTTATTATCATCAAAATAGTTAATGTGCGCTGCTTTACCTAAGGGCCATTTAATATATTACAAAGATTTGATGAAAGTTATGTTTTTTTTTTTACTTAATATATTACAAAAATTTGATAAAAGTTTGATGAAATATATTACAAAGATTTGATGAAATAATGCAGTAGTTGTGTAGTGGTAGAGCGCTCGCTTCATAAGCGAGAGGTTCCGAGTTCGATCCCCACCAAGTCCCTGGTAGTACCGCACTCAACTTGTTTCTCCGCGCAGCAGCCTTGTTCATCAAGGTTTGTGTTTCGGAGTTATAGAGTTGAGAGAGGGTTATAACCACAATTAAGTAGCCTCCTTGTCTGTAGTGGCCTTCTCGGCCTTGGGGAGGTGAAATAAAAAAAAAAAAAAAAGTATGTGTTTGTAATATAGATAGTTGATGCTGTATGTTTCATCCATGTTCCAACTGCTCTGGTAAAGTAAATTTAAAGACTTACTTGGAAAATGTGTTTAAAAATAATGATTTTGATTTAGATGATCATATCATATACATACAATGGGTGTCAACTGACCAAACTGCACTTGTCACAGTCCAAACAAGCATTATTGAGTTTATTGAAACTCTAAGTGAAACTTTGTATGACCTTTGTCATCACTTTATCAAAGAAGCACAATCCTCCTACTTATCAGAGGCAAAAAGAACATTAGATCAACACATGTACCATCTTGAAGATCACAATATAAATGCTGAGCATCACTTCTTTGCTACATCCCATGGCAAAAGTCCATGTGATGGAATAGGAGGAACTATAAAAAGAAAAGCAGTAAAAGCGAGTCTACGAGCAGCAAATGCGCAACAGATTCTCCCACCATTTGAATTGTTTACATGGGCTGAAAATATATTGAAGGTGTTAAATTACTTTATATTTCAAGTGATAATATCAATAATCATGAAACTTATTTTAACCTAAAGAAACGATATGAAGAGATGAGCACTGTCCCAGGCACAAGAAGCTATCACAGTTTTGTACCAGGTGGAGAAAAATTATTTTTACGAAAAATATCTAGCAATAATGTCTATGATACCTGTTTGCTGAATAATATTAACTTGGCAAAAAAAAGATCCTTCATAATTTCAACCTGGTAAATAGCATTGCATGCTTTTACAATGATGAATGGTACATAGGGCTTGTACTTAAGATTTGTAATGAAAACCAAGATGTTAATGTAAAATTCATACATAGAAACAAATTAAATTGGACTAATGATGCACGATCAAGTCAGTGCTGGGTCTCATTCAACAAAGTAATATGTCAAATAAGTGCTCCGTTCATTAAGGGTAGAAGTGCTCGTGTCTACAAACTTGCTATTAATGATTATGACAGTATTATGAGTTATGTAAATCAGAGATAAATAAATTAGTGTACTTGTGTTTCATGTGTTATACACTACTTTTTACAGCATTTTTTTTTTTTTTTGAAGATTAATATAACTTGCGCTATTAGGTATCCTTTTAAACTAAAAAAGCATTGCACTGAAAATGCTAAAATTATGTAATAAGATAGAGTACAGGTCTTTAATTTTTTTTGGTGGTTGTCTATATATAGAACCTTAAAAAGTTAACCTAGAAGCCAGTAAAAAGTTTCATAATTTATTTTAACTGTCTATGCTACTTTCTATGCCTACAAAGTAAATGTAATTTATTGTATTTTTTGAAAAGTGATATTTTAATAGGCTGTTGCAAGTGCTAAAATAACTTATAACACATAATTTTAATTTTTTCCACAAGTAGTTACTCTAAGTACACAAAGTAACAAAAAAATTAGCACAGTATATCTGTTGGTATTGAACTGTAGCACATTAAAGTTTCTTAAATTTTTTCTAATATTGTGTTATTCAGCAACTTTGAGGTACAAGAACTCAAAAACTGTTTAAAATCGGTCATAAACACCTCAAAAATAGATAATTTGGGTGAAAAAATATTACCCTTAAAAGTTTCAGGTGATCATATATTTTATTTAAAAAGTTATTTTATTTAAAAAGTTTATCGAAAAAATCTACTGTAAGCTCCAAATACTCAAATTTTTCCGATTTTGGTCAATATTAATTCAATTATGACTTTTGAACGGTTTGATCAATCAAGTTGAAATTTTCAGGATTGTGTTTTTTCATAAAAGCTGTGGGTGGTCAAAATTTGAAGCAATTTTGAGGTGGTACCCTGGAAAAACCCTCTTATTGCCTAGCCCATTTTTTTGAATAGTACTCTTAGCTATTAGGCATTTAGCACAAAACTGTTGGTTTCCAATAAGAACAGTTTCTTTGAAAGTTACAATAGAAAAATCAAATGGTTTGCACAAAATTATGCTGGTATTACCTTTTTTTATTTTTACTGAATTAGTTCGACATCTGCAAATTCCATTTGGAAAACAGCTATCATTTAAGTTTATATTATCAATGAAATACTTTTTAATTCTCACTGAAACTACACTTACGTCTTGAATTTTACTTAAATTTTTTTCTTTTTCAAAACAAATTAAACAAACTTGACTTCTAAGATTAATTGGTAAAAAATTATTAGACGCAAAGAATAAACCAAAATTAAGTATAAATAATACAACCAAACTGTGCAAATGTCTTAAGACAACTGTTTATTAAACATAGTGAGTTGTATTAAATATCGACATCAAAATTAATTTCTCCTTTTTTCAATTCAACACAAGTTAAAATTAGACTAAGACATTTATTTAGTCAATTTTTGATGTCAGATCTCATTACATTGTTTAATTTTTGTTTTTAATAATTTTTGATTTCTTGATTTAAGATGATGGAAAGTTGTATTTTTTTATTTGAATATATATATATATATATATATATATATATATATATATATATATATATATATATATATATATATATATATATATATATATATATATATATATATATATATACACATATATTAAACCTAGTTAACAGAGGTTTTCATATAAAAATTATTTTGTGACAAAAGAATGAAATTATGAGATTAATAAATTTTTTTATCAAATGGAACGTGAAAAGGTACTTTTTTATAGTTTTTTTTTTTTTTTTTTCCCCATGTTTTTATTATTTTTATATTCTATCATTTTTATTTTATTTTTTAATTTATTTTAAGGATAAGTTTTTATTTGATTTCAGGATAATCATTTGACAAAACTACAAAAAATAATCAAAGTGTTATCTGTTATAGATGGTGTACCAAAAGAAATTGAAAATTTGCAGGTTTTTTTTTGTTTTTTTGTTTTTGAGTTTTTCTTTGTATTATTTGAAGAGATAATTTTAAGTAAATATTTTAGAATTATACATAAAGTAGTGACACCTAAAAATAACCAATCAAAGGTTTTTGTTAAGGTTTATATAACTGTAAAAGTTTTTGTAACATTTTTGTAAATTTTTGTAACTTAATAAATATAAGGAAGTAAAAATAAAAATAATAGTTTAAAATAATAAAATAAAATTTAATACATCAAACTAAATTTTATTTTTTTCTAAGTACTTAATAAAATAAATTAAACTACAGCTGTATTCTTTATACTATTTTAGACTTTATTTATAAGGTTTATTTAAATGCTGAATTAAAATTCAAAAGCAAAATTATAAAAAGTTATGAAAAAACAAATTTTTCTAATTTGATTAAAAATTCCTTTAAACCGAGTGCCAAATATTTCACTTTTTTTTTTTTTATTACTACTCTTTAATTATCTAGTTTAAACAATCTGCTTAGTTTAAAAAAACTGCTCTTTTAAAAAATTGCATCTAGGGTTTGTAATCTCATGTATTTATATCCTAGGATTACATGATTGAACCTAGGAGTTTTAAATATATTAACATATTATCTAAGTAATTTTAAAAAAAATCTTAGTAATTTCAAAAAAATTATAACATTCACACATAAGTTATAAAACACTGTTAAATTATAAGGAACTTCATTGGTTTTATAACATTATACATTGTTAATTTTATTGAAGACAGAACCGTTAGTAGCTTTATTTTGGATTCAGATTGAGCGTTGCTTTTCAGATATTGAAGAATTCACTTATATCTGTATGCATAATGTAATTTTTGACTTTTAACAATTATCATCTTAAGATGTTTTTTTACTGCAAAGTTATGGCAAAATCTTTTGTGAGCGAATTAGTATTTTGATGCAAAGGACCTCGACTGTTGTTTTTACTGGGAGCATCAATGATAGCAGTAACCTTTTTTAATGGTAGCAATAACAGTTTTCATTATTTAATAAATTCAAAGGATCACAATTTATGACTTGCTTCCTAAATTCAGCCACAGCATTGTTGTTGGTTGTTTCTATTTAATCATTTACTTCAGTAGCATGTTACATCACATGCTATATTTCCTGTTTTGACTACTATCAAATTCAACAAAATTTTTGTTGACAGAAAAATCCTCAATGTTACACAGTGTCAATAGTCGAAGTTCAGTCAAGTTCTCTCTAAAATTTGTTTTGTAGTAAACTGCTTATCTGTTGCTCTATTTATATCCTTCTTTTTTAAATGTAGTTTACCTCCTTAAGACTAAAAGTATTTTTAAAGTCAGTTAATTTTCTTGTAATAAATGTTTCCAAACAGAAGAGTTACTCTTTTTTGTGTGTCGTATTCCATTTTTGCCATTATACTTTAAACATCCCTCAATTTTAATTTAGTTAAAAAAAGAAGAATATAAATATAAAAAGATATAAAATAGTCACAATGTCTATTCAAGATTAAAATTATAATAAACTAGAATAAATGCAACTGAGCACCAACAGATTTTTTTTTTTTTTTTTTATTTTACTTCACCTCCTCAAGGCCGAGAAGGCCACTACAGACGAGGAGGCTACTTATTTTGTGGCTATAACCCTCTCTCAACTCTATAACTCCGAAACACGAACCTTGACGAACAAGGCCGCTGCGCGGAGAAACGAGTTGAGCGCGGTACTACCAGGGACGTGGTGGGGATCGAACTCGGAACCACTCGTTTATGAAGCGAGCGCTCTACCACTACACCACTACCGCATTAATTTTAAGAATGTAAGTAAAATATTCAAAAACAAACTTTTAAATTTGATTGCAGCTGAATGCAAAAAAAAAAAAAAACTTAAAAAAAACAAACAATATTAGATTATATTTTCTTTTTAACACCTGGCAATAAAAACAGATCAAATAATAAAATAGTCACCAATTTAATTAAAATCAGCTAAAATGACACGGCTCTCACAGTTGTTAGCATTAAATGCTAATAACCAGCTTAGTGCGTTTTCCACAAAATATTGAATCAGTCTTCTTGAAACATTCTCCTCCATGAAAACTTTAAATGACTCTCTCTTTTCTTTCAAATTCCAAAACTGGAACATTTCTTTTAATATTGACACAACATCAGCTTGCAGGTCTTCAATAGGTTGCGTGAATTTAATTTTTTTGCCATTTATCATGCACTCGACGAAGTTTAAACCAAGTGTATTGCAGATTTAAAACACTTCATTTGTAAAGAATTTTTTATTCTGTATTGCCTGCAATTGATTGATTATCAGTAAATAGCAAGTTTGATTTTTCAACAGCCTGATAAAAAGATTTACTTTGTTCCTAAGCAGAATAGTTGAAATATCCTCTATTTTAAAAAAGTAATTTTTACTGTACTTCGAGATAAAGATAAATGATATTAGGACTGCTCTTCCAACAGCCTCTATTTTGCTAAAAAATCTATTATCATATTTGCATAGCTCAAGACCATATATAAGCTTTAGCACAGTTATTGTTGACGACTGGCAGTAATGAATCCCACAGTCGATTAGAGCTATTGCAACCAATTGAAATTGAGACATGCTCATTTAAATTTGTTTTTTGGAGTGTTGCAATTTTGTTTTTGCTAGTATTTTTATCCCAAACATCTGGAAACCCAGATGTTTTATTTTATTTTAAGGTATATATAAGCTCTGTTGATTTGAATAACGTTGTTGGAAATATTGTATTTTCCAGAAATCAGAAATTCCGTTTTCTCAGTGTTAAGCCAAAGTTTGCCACTGTATGTTTGAGATAAAATTTGTCAAATTTGCCAAAAAAAACTTAAAAAAATGTTTAATCAAATAAGATTTTAAATAATTTAACCCAGCTGTAAGGGATTTTTTGTTTTAAACTAAAAAGTTCTTAGAATTTTAGGATTTTTAAAAATAGCAAGATCCTGGAATTCCCATTATAAAATAACAGTGTTTACCAATAGTTTTAATATAACAAAAATTTTCTATTTTAATCAAAAACAAAAAAAAAATTGATTAAAACAGGAACAACAAATGCATATGAATGCACCTGCAAATATATATGCAAATTCTACATAATGAACATAAATTCTAATAATAATTCATATCATAGATATATGAAGCATAGCACAATGACTTATAACAATCTCTATTAATTTTGATTTGAAACCAAAATTTATTGGACAAAAATTGCTAAAAAATTTTCTAAAGTACAAAAATAATTGTTAGTTGGTTATTTTGGTGTCCAACAAATTGTCATCAGACATTATTTGGCAACCACTTTTTTTAATTATAATTAATACACATATCATAAAAGATATCATCAGGGATTTATAATTTAAACACCAAATATCTATTATTGACATTGCAAAAAATATAAAACTTTTTGTGCTAAAAAGAACCCAAAATTTATTGAAATAAAAATTATATAAACTTTTAATCTTCTCTAGTAAAAAATCTGTAGTGCAGGTACACGGCAAGAGGCGAATTAAGTTACAGCGAATTGAAAATTCCGTAAAAGTTTCAGGTCTTCAAATTTTGTTTTTCTTGAAAACCATTATTGCGCATTTTTTTGGACCATTCGTAACAGTTTTACAAATTGATTTCCGAAGTTCATACTTGTAAACGTTTCTGAAGTTTTGTAATTTTTCTAAATTCATTTAAATTTTGCGATTTATTTTGATTATTTTTTAATTATGTTTATAATTATGTTTATAAACTAAAATATGTAAATTATAAAAATATTGTGTTAAGATATTACTTAAATTGAATAATATCTCAACTTTATAAAATCATCTCTGAAAGAATCTTTAGCAATTTTACCGATGTAATCTGTAAAAATACCAGCAGCTCGATTAGTTGAGTAACTATTTCCAAGATCAACGCTATTTTTTTCTAATTAGCTCAAGCAAATCAGGGAAATCAGAAAATAGACATTCTTTTTTTTGCCAAGTAGTAAATTACATTGAATTTCTTCTCAAGTGAGTCATAAATTTTTCACCCATTTCTCGTAGCCCTTTTTTAATAGTGTTTTTATTTAAACATTCTTTAAAACTTCCGCAACCGATTTAATCTGATAATTGATGAGATGTGCTTCCTTATGTTTTTTACTGTTGCAATTACTTCTTATGCTGTCTTTTTTAATTGACAGAGTTCCAGGGCGAATCCACGAAATAAAATTTTTTTAATGTTTTTAATACAAGATTCATATTGCTTGCAAAGCAAGCAGCGTAATTTTACAACATCATTTCCCTCGATATCATATTAAAACTTTAAATCAAATTAAATTCTTTTTCCCATTTCAAAATGATATCTAATTTACAATGGTTATCTTTAGTTTTTGGTAAGAAAAATGAGGCCATATTTTTAAATATTTTGTTCACTTTATCTACTTCACTTTCAATTTAATATGTTTTAAACTCTTAATTTTAAAAGTTTTTAAACCTTTTCAATTTGTTCAAAGTTATTGTCAATTGCAACGTCATTTTGCAAATTAAAGCCATTAAAGTCTCAAAGCCGTAATTATGAATTAGTTTCTTTTTTTCTTAAACCCTTTACTAACATCATAACATTTTTGCAGACATATAATAACTAACCGCCACTGACAATAACAAATAATACTATGCTGGAATATTCTGATAGTGTTATGTATTATAAGCGTTATAAACAATATTATATTTTGTTTTTTTTTTTAATATATCTTGTAGTTTTGGTATCTTTTTTCTTTAACAAATTTAAAAATGTTCTTTAACAAATTCAAAAACAATTAAAAAAAGTTCTTTAACAAATTCAAAAATGAATAAAGTAACAAAAACTATAAAACACAAAAAACCACACTTATCACCAAGTTCGCTAAACTTATCATTCACTAATATTCGTGGTCTTCAAAGTAACTTTTCTTCTTTTGAATCTTATCTCTTGCAAAGTTCACCAGACCTACTTGCTCTTTGTGAGACTAATTTGAGTTCAGCTGTCTCATCTTGTGATCTTAGTGTTGATGGTTATCTTCCTTTAATTCGTAAAGACTCCAATAGTCACATGCTTGGCCTAGGCATTTACATTTGTAAGAATTCACCCATTTATCGTGAAACTAGGTTTGAGTTCACAGACTACTCTTTTAAGTGCTTTCGTTTAGCACCACTTCACTTTATCACCTTTCTCTTTGTTCTATATCGCTCTCCTTCATCTCAATACTGCACTCTTCTTGATGTTATTTCTGATTATATTGACCAAGCCCTCATTCTTTATCCATCAGTTAATATTGTTGTTGTCGGTGACTTTAATGTTCATCACACTGAATGGCTTGGCTCTAGTGTCAGTGACTCCGCAGGCATTAAGGCCCACAACTTTTGCCTTTCTCAATCCCTAACTCAAATAGTCAACTTTCCAACTCGCTTTCCAGACAACCCGAATCATTTACCTTCTCTACTCGACTTATGTCTTGTTTCTAATCCTGGTCAGTGCTCAGTTTCTCCACACTCACCCTTAGGTGCTTCTGATCATGGTTTGGTCTCTCTAAAACTGTTATCTCATTTTTCTTTACCATCAGAATCCCCCTATCATTGTACATCTTACAACTACCTTTAAGCTGTCTGGGACTATCAGCAAAACAAATCTCCAGAAAACAGACGTCTGTTTATTACTTCTAGGAACCATTGTAAAAAGGTTTTGTCTTACTCCAAAGCCCGCTATTCTCAGATCATGAAATCTCGTATTTCATCACAAAAATTAGGCTCTTGTGACTTCTGGAGAATCTTTAATAGTATCAAAAATGAGGGCAAGTCTGTAATTCCACCTCTTTTGTACGGTTCAGACTTTGTCACCTCACCAAAAGACAAAGCTGAATTGTTTGCCAAGAACTTTTCATCAATATCATCTCTGGATTCCACTAGTTAGGTTCTACCTGATATAGCTGTCAAACAGGTTGATCCACTGCTCGACATCCGCATCACTCCAGCTTCTGTATCTTAAGTGATTTCCTGCTTAGATTCTTCTACAGCTTGCAGCCCGGACAACATACCTGTTATAGTCTTTTTTTTAATTCACCTCCTCAAGGCCGAGAAGACCACTACAGACAAGGAGGCTACTTATTTGTAGCTATAACCCTCTCTCAACTCTATAACTCTGAAACACGAACCTTGACGAACAAGGCCGCTGCGCGGAGAAACGAGTTGAGCGCGGTACTACCAGGGACGTGGACTGTCGTCTATCCTTTCAAAACTATTCAACAAGTGCTTATCAGAGTCTTGTTTTCCAGCCTGCTGGAAAGCAGCATCTGTTATCCCTATTTTTAAAAATTCTGGAGAGTGATCTGATTCGTCTAACTACCGTTATTAGTCTTCTTCATATCATAAGCAAGGTTTTTCAATCTTTAATTAACAAACACTTAATTTCTCATCTCGAATCTCATAACCTACTTTCTGATCATCAATATGGATTTCGATCTTCTTGTTCTACGGCTGATTTGCTAACAGTAATAACTGATACGTTTTATCGCGCATTAGATAAAGGTAGAGAGGTTAAGGCCATCGCTCTTGACATTTCTAAGGCATTTGATAAAGTTTGGCATGCTGGTCTTCTCCATAAGCTTTCTTCTTACGGTGTATCTGGAAACATCTTTAAGATTATTGAATCCTTTCTTTCCAATCGTAGTATAAAAGTTGTCCTTGATGGTTAGCACTCTTCTTCTTATTCTGTAACCTCAGGGGTTCCTCAAGGTTCAATCCTTGGCCCTATACTCTTTTTAATTTACATTAACGATCTTCCAGATTTTTTCACATCTTAGGTGGCATTGTTCACTGATGATACTACCATTTATTCTTGTTACGATAAGAAGCCAACTCCCTCTGATCGCTTGCAGGGGGCATCTGAGCTTGAAAAGGATCTCACTTCTGCTTCAGCATGGGGCTCACAGTGGCTGGTGAACTTTAATTCAGATAAAACTCAATTTTTTTTTAGCCAATTGTTATCGCAATAATTTAGACCTTCCTATATTTATGAACAGTAATGTACTTGATGAGTCATCTACCCTTCATCTTCTAGGATTAACTCTTACTTCTGATCTTTCTTGGAAACCTTATATCAAATCCGTTTCAAAATTAGCATCTGCTAAAGTTCCTTCTCTTTATCGAGCTTGTCACTTTCTTACTCTGGATTCTATTCTCTATCTCTATACATCTCAATTCCGGCCTTGTATGGAATACTGTTGCTATATCTGGGGTGGATCTTCTGATGATGCCCTTTCTCTTTTAGACAAGGTGCAAAAACACATTGTAAACATAGTTGGACCTACTCTTGCAGCCAACCTTCAACCTCTGTCACATCGTTGTAATGTTGCTTCTCTTTCTCTTTTCTACAAATACTAAAATGGGCACTGCTCTAAAGAGCTAGCGTCTCTTGTGCCATCTACAAAAATTTATTCTCGTGTTACTCGTCATTCAATTAAGTCTCATCTTTTTTCTGTTACTGTTCCAAAGTGCTGCAAAAACTCTTATTCGTCTAGTTTTTTTCCTCGAATATCAGTTCTTTGGAATTTGCTTCCTTCATCTTGCTTTCCTGATTCATACAATTTGCAATCTTTTAAGTTGTCTGTCAATTGTTATCTTGCTCTACAATCTTTATCTTTTCTCTTCCAGTAACTCTCAACACTAATTAGTGGTTGCAGCCTTGTTGGAAGCGATGATGTTAAAAAAAAAAAAAAAAGTTTTGGTATTGATTTTTTCATTCCAATTATTTTTTTTAAATGTATGTTTTTAGTTATTATCAATATTTTTAATTATATTATACTCACTGGTGTAAGTATACAACATAGCCTCCATGCCCATGAACTAGAGAGGAAGGGGTCAGGGGGTATATTGTCCCCGGATCTGGCTATATTTAAGGGCTTGTAAGAAAAAAGAGGGAAAAAAAATTTGAGCCAATTTTGGCGTTCATGGTGCGTATTTTCAGCCAAAGTAGGGCCCAGAAAACAATGCCCTTGCCCCCCACTTTTTGAGCCACCATGGCCCCCCGTCGCCCATGTGTATTTTTATTCCTAGAATAACTAATTTTTTGGAGTAGTTATTTATTATTCTTAGCCGAGTTTGGAAGCTAAAGTTATATGTTACTAAATGAGTTTGTGGGAAATGTTACTATATGAAACAGTGGGAAAAATAAGTGACGAATTTAAAAATAATTACCTGAAAAAGTTATTAAGTCTATATTATATATAAAAATAATTACCCGAAGACGTTGCGATATTTTAATTAAAGAAAATTCTTAAAAGCAGAGCCATTACTAGGCTGTCCAAATGGCTCCCTTAATGCAGTAAGGGGGAAGGCAGCAAAATTAGGGATCCTTTTTCAATTTTTAGAGGGCCCTTTACTAAGTTTAAGAATCTTTTTTTTTTAGTTTTATCATTATAATAATACCTAATAATCTTTTTAAAATTTTGGGGCTGTAATAACAGGTTTGAGGGAGTGCTCTGCCTTCTATGCTACTGCACCGATTAAAAGAAGAGGGATGTTTTAAAGGAAAAATTTCTTTATATTTCTATGATAAAAACGTTTTACCATAAAATAAATTTTTTTTTAAAGCATTATTTTATTTTATTATAGAAAGGAATATAAAATCAGTGATTGCAATCTAAGTTTTTTTTATTTTATTTGTCAAGTTTCACGTTTCTAAAAAAGCGCGCCTATATTAAAATCAACCAATGAAAATTATGAGATTAAGTTGCAGTACCGCTAGTATCAATGTTTTCGTATATTTTTAAACACTTTAGAAGTTCATAGTGTGATGAAATTGGTGGTTTGATGTAGCTTTAATCATCAAAGCTACATACATAAATATCAACTACAAAGTTTGATATTGATATTTAATATACTTTATTTAACTTATTTATATTTCTATAAATTTTTCTTATATAACATTAAGTATTTGAATCCTGTATTTGCTTTTTTTTTCCTGTATTTGTATTTACCCTGCTATGTAAATACATAATACAGTGGTTACTCCAGCTAGATTAACGGCTGTTTTATAAAAGTATCATTTTAAACATGTAAGTTATGAAAGTCTTAATGAAATTAGCTACAGATGATTTTTAAGATCCGTAAAAACTGAGTTCACGGTTTTTTAAGAAACTAAAAATTTAAAGACCAGAATTTTTTACGGAATTTTCAATTTGCAATCACTTAATTCGCCCCTTGCATGGTATTATCCAATGCTAGTTTTGCGGATCTGCACTATCCCCAATGCTAGTTAAACGGATCTGCACTATCCTCATCGATATGTTTAAAAGTCATAATAAAAAGTATTTTATGTTTGATATTTTTTTTCATAGCTGTTTGAAGATTGTAATGAACAAGTTAACAAGTTATTGCTTGAGGATGATACATCACTCACACAATTCGACTCCAAGAGTTCTGAAGTAGTTTGTGTGTCTTTAAAAGCTTTACCAATATTTTTTTTATTTTGTAAGGTAATTTTTATAACCATTCATTTCATTTTATTTAAGAAATATTTTGATCAAGGATAGGATAAGGATTATGATGATTGGTTCTCCCAAAAAGTTTTTTAATGTTGCTATTAACTTGATTTAATGCAGGAAATTTGGTTAAGAACTTAACAAATATTTATATTAGAATAATTGTTTTATCTTTTGTAAATCAAAATTACCATGAATAAAGTTGTTAATTTTTTTTTTATTTTTTTGTTTTAATCTTTGTTAGGTTTGTATTTTAGGATGCAAATATTCAACTTGAACAGAATATGATAAAACAACGCATTGTTGCTTTGTTTAAGAACACTTACCAGAGTTTAAAAGTAATTTTTCTGATTTAGGATTTCTTTTTTTATTATAAATTATTTCATTTTATTATCTCATATCAAATTATATCATAAATTATATTAAATTAAATGTGGTTAACCGGATTTTGTTCGAATATCAAATATCTATTTTCGAATAATAAAAACTAACTTTTTTTGAATTTTATAGAAAGTAACATCGTAATTATGACGATTATTGTTTGACAAAACGTTAAATTATCAAATATTATAATATATTTCTTTTATTAATTTAAATGTTAATTTAATCAGTTTTGTTTGATAATATATTCTTAAAACAATTTACAATAGAAATCTCAAAGAATTATTTATTACTTTTACAACTCAAGCAATACATTTTAAAGAAAGTTTCTTCAGAATATTCTGGAACTCTAATTCGCTTATTCAGCGTATTTTTTGAACCAATAGAATTTATTTATTCCTAGATTTAACGGTATTTAATATAATACATAACATCTCATTTTTCCAAATTAAATGTTTTTATATGAGAGAATGATTTTAAAACATCCGCTGATATTAAAACATTTAAACTATACTTGTACATTATTCCTACCTTTTTTAATTATATAATTAAAAAGGTATATATTATAATATAAAAATATATATATATCTTTTTCCATGTTTTGTTATAAATATATAATATAGGACTGTATTCACTAACTGTCTTGAAAATGTACACTTTAACATTAATTTTTAAAAAATTAGTTTAAAACGCTACGTTAGTTGAAATTTAGAAGATCCTGTTTTTAGAAAGCGTCACTAATTTACCGAATAGTCGGTTAACCACAAATTGATGAGAACTGTTATCCGGTTTTTGAAACGGATAACTGGCGAAATCACTATATATATATATATATATATATATATATATATATATATATATATATATATATATATATATATATATATATATATATATATATATATATATATATATATTTATATATATATTTATATATATATTTATATATATATATATATATATATATATATATATATATATATATATATATATATATATATATATATATTAGGGTGTCCCAAAAAACAACTTTTTTAAAAATAATCTGCTCTCACCCCCTAAATGTGTTCTATCTAATACAAAAACACTAAGTTTAAATTTTTTTTGAATAAAAAATAATTTAAAGGGATAATAATTCAAGACCCTCGAATATTTAATTGTTCCCTAATATTTTCAAAAAAAAAGTTTTTAAAAATTATGTCAACCTGGTACTCAAATGAAGCGAAATTATATAAAAATTTCAAAAATAATGTTCATTTCGGAAAAAAGATACGTAACGATATTTCCCTTAAAATATACAATATTTGCCAAAACAAAAAACAATTTTCTGTAAAAAAATCTAAAATATATATATATATATATATATATATATATATATATATATATATATATATATATATATATATATATATATATATATATATATATATATATATATATATATATATATATATATATATAAGACCTTGTTTTAAATAAAAAAATGCTGAACACATTAGCCTAATGTGAATTTGACGTCATAAAATTCTTTTTCTTTTTAAAATTTTCAAATACATTAATTTTTTAAATTACTGCAATAATATTAATTATTGCAAAATGAGTTAAATTTTTAAAAAAATCATTTTTTATTATTACTATTAGGGAATGTTTATTTTCTTTCATTTTTTTTATATTAAATAATAAAATTTAATATTGCATTTTTAAAAATTTTTTTCGATATAAACAAATATATTTCTTTTTTGGACATTTGTATTTAGAGAGTAACAAATAAAAAAATTACCTTATTTATTTACTTTACTTATTAAAATTTAATTTTTTTATTAGAGATTTTGTTGTTAAAGCAAAGATTAATTTTCCAAACACCATTATTTAAAATTATATCCCTGTATTATATCCCATTTGATAAAAATAATTGTTGCGCTTTAACCTATGTTATAAAAAAAAGTTTAACTTATGTTTAGTGCAAACTTTTGATGAACCCTAGCAACAAGTTTATTTAAAATTTAATTTTGAGTGAAACAAAAATGTTTAGGAAGGAAAATCAAAAAAACAATTCCAATAAAAATGAGCTAATTTTTTTTTAACAATAAACAAAGTTTAAATATTTATCAATATTTAGTAATATTTCCAAATAAATTTGTCAGTCAAGTTAAACCCAAGCACATTAGTTTTAATAAACTTAAATATTTTTTTTTAATCAGAATTAAACTATATATTTTTTAAATCAAAATTAAATTATTTTTTTATCATAATAAAAATATATAATTATGATCTTTGCTTTAGGCCTAAAGTTTTCCAGCGAAAAGAAGTATTAGCGTTTTTCCAGCAAAAAAAATCAGTCATTACAATAAATAAAAAATTATAATCTTTAAAGTATTAGCGTTTTTCTAGCGAAAAAATCAGTCATTACAATAAATTAAAAAAACATAATTGTTATTCAAACTTTTTTACATAATCATTATTCAAAAGTTAATGTGATTTTTTATAAAATTAATTACTTTTTTTATCTTACCACATATAGAATAATTTAAAAGTTAAAAAAAAAGTTTTTTTATATTATAGTCAATTTGTCAATTAAAAGTTTTAATTGACAAATTGACTATAATAGTTATAAAGATTAAAGTATGGATTTCCTGTTTAAAAACAAGAAAATATTATTTTAATAACATAAATAGCACTACTGATGATTTTTTGAAAGGCCTCTTGTGCTAAAAAATATTGAATTAAAATTTAATGTATTTTACTTAATAGTAACAATAAAATAAATAAATATTTTATATGCATTGTTTATTTGTTTGACCACTACTTTAAATTTATTGGTTATTAACACATTTCAAATTTCTTTTTTTTTACCGTAATTAAAATTTGAGGACCTTTTTTTTTTGTTTTTGTTTTTACGGCAAATATCGGGAAAAAAATGCTGATTTTCAGCTAAAGTCCGCCAAAATGGGGGGTACCGCTGCCCTTTTATTTATCCTAGAGTAGGCCCTGTATATATATATATATATATATATATATATATATATATATATATATATATATATATATATATATATATATATATATATATATATATATATATATATATATATATATATATATATATATATATATATACATATATATATATATATATATATATATATATATATATATATATATATATATATATATATATATATATATATATATATATATATATTATATTTTTAATTTGATCGTTAGGAAAAATTTACAATTAGATCGTTAGGTCTTCTCATCAAGAACCGCTCGTAAATTAAAACTTGATAAAATTCAATATATATATATAAAGTCTAGTGCATATATAGTTAATCACATTTAAGTGCATGTTCTTATAAATATTCAACTGAATAAACATAAACTAAAATAATACAAATTAATAATGTTTAAAAATATGACAATATATCATCATGTGACAAAATGATTTCTTTAAGCTTATTTCTGAATGAAAAATAACTTATTTCAGAGAAAAATTTAAATGTTTTAAAATTGTTTTGTTCCAAAGAAAAGCTCTTTGAAAAGAAATACTAGATTTTCCAAAATTAGTCTGAAAAAATGGTTGGCGAAATAAATTATCATTTCTTAAATTGTATTTATTTTTTTATTTCAGCGTGTATAAATTATGGAAAGAAACTGGGGAAGAGTTAGTTTTACATTTATACATAAAACAAAGAATATTTAAAACATTCAGCTGATATATATTAAGAGTTTTCATTTCAAGTAAAAGAGGCTTGGCATGAGTAAATCTGTTTTTAAAATTAATAAGACGAGAAACATGCTTCTGTTGACGATAAAGAGGCTCCAGTTTACATTTATTGTCATTGCACCAAGCAATATTTGCATAGCTTAATTGACAATGGATAAAAGAGAAATATAATTGAATTAGACTATGTTTATTTAACACACCTCTAGCTTTATACAATATTCTTATACTTTTAGCAATTTTATTACACAAAGAATTCAATGTGGTATTTCCAACTAGGGTTTTCATCAACATAGATCAATTTAAAAAATTAGCACTAATTATTATTTTTATTTGGATTTTATCAATAAAAAGTAAAGGTAGTTCACAAGGAAGTAGTTTTTTTTTAGACGCTGGATAAAAAAGTGTCCATTTTGTTTTTTCAACATTTAGTGAAAGTTTATTCATTTTAAATCAGATATTTTTGTTATTTTTGTTTACTTTAAAACATTTCCTTTAATTCCATAATATTTAACTTTTTTAAGGAGAATTTGGTGATTGATTGTATCAAAAGCTTTTGATAAATTTATGAAAACTCCCAACGTATATTGGGAATTTTCAAACGATTCAGAAATACTACGTGTTATATGGAGTATCGCATGTTCTGTTGATGTATTTTTTTTTTTGAACCCGTATTGATTAGTATAAAGTATATTATTTAAAGAAAGGTGATTATAAATTACGTTATATAGGATTCTCTCTAACACTTTAGAAAAAACAGGTAAAATAGAGATTGGGCGATAATTTGTAAGATATGTAGTATCACCTTCTTTGAAAATTGGTGTGACTTTGGCTGTTTTAAGATGGTCTGGAAATATTCCCAGTTTTATTGAACAGTGTAAAACTTTAAATAGTACATCTTTCAAATGTTCATACAAGTCAATGACCACATTACTATATATACCGTCGTGACCGACAGATTTATTAGACTTTAGCATTTTAAAAGATTGCTCAAATTCTTCAAAAGATAATTTAAAGGTTTTTAAAGTTAGAAACAAAGTTAACGGAAAATCGAAGTTATCCATTTTGTTTATCACAAAAGGATTTTTCTTTTGCAAGATTTGGGCCAACTGATACAAAGAATTTATTTAATTCACACATATCATTGTTGGATTGGACAAAAATTCATCATTAATTTTTAAGATTACAGGCAGTGTGCATGTTTTTGTTTTTTGCATGCCAGTAACTTCTCTT